GGCCTTCCTCATCCTCTTTGAGGTGAGCCAGCAGGCAGGGGCCCTGGAGTGGGCCAGCTCTCCGACCCTTGATGTCCCTGTGCAGCCCTCCTGACCTCCCCCCTCTGCCCAGCACGTGGCCTTATGCATCAAGCTCATTGCGGCCTGGTTCGTGCCTGACGTCCCACAGTCTGTGAAGAACGAAGTCCTGAAGAAGAAGTACCAGAGACTGGAGCAAAAGAGGTGGAGAGGCAGGGCTGGCTGGGGGTGGAGAGGGGCTGGGGTGGGCCCACTCAGTCCCTTTCCTGCCTCCAGCTGCAGCCCCAGGAGCACAGACGTGTAGGGGACCCGGAGCAGGCGGTGCCTGGAGGCCCACGACTCAGGAGCTGCCACTGCAGCCTCCTGCCCCAGCCTGGCTGTCTGTGTGCAGGGAGCTTTAGGAAGACCCGACTACGTGTGGGGGCCCTGGGAGCCCCTGTGTGTGTGGGGTGTCTGTGAACTGCACTCTCGTCTGTGGTCTATGAGGCCTGTTCCATGTGTTAGGTCTCAGGCTTGGTACTGCCCGACTTGAACTCTGAGTGACTCCTGCCACCCCTAGAACTGGGGAGGAGGGCAGGCAGCGGCAGGGGCTCCCGTGCAGTCACAGTGCAGGGGGGCTGGACTCTTTCCTGGGCTGCCCTCTGACTTCTGGGCCCCAGATCTTGCCCCACCCCCTGGCTCCCTTCAACCAGCAGAATTTTCTATAATAAAATAAAAACTTTCTGTAGATTTCTGGGTCTCTGGTGGATTATGTCTGCCCTCAGGGCTAGCAAGGTTATACTCAAAATCCTTTCACATGCTAGCAAGGTTATGCTAAAGATCCTTCAAGCTAGACTTCAGCAGTATGTGGACTGAGAACTGCCAGATGTACAAGCTGGGTTTTGAAGAAACAGAGGAAACAGAGATCAAATTGCCATTTGTTGGGTCGTCAAGAAAGCAAGGGCCTTCCAGAAAAACATCTACTTCTGCTTCACTGACTACGCTAAAACCTTTGACTGTGTGGATCACAACAAACTGGAAAATTATTAATGAGATGGAAGTACCAGACCAATGTACCTGCCTCCTGAGAAATCTGTATGTAGGTAAAAAAGCAACAGTTAGAACCAGACATACAACTGACTGGTTCAAAATTGGGAAAGGATTATATCAAGGCTGTATATTGTCACCCTGCTTATTTAACTTATATGCAGAGTCCATCATGCAGAATGCCAGGCTGGAATCAAGATTGCCGGGAGAAAAATCAGCAACCTCAGATATGCAGATGATACCACTTAAATGGCAGAAAGCAAAGAGGAACTAAAGAGCCTTTTAATGAGGGTAAAAGAGGAGAGTGAAAAAGCTGACTTGAAACTCAACATTCAGAGAACTAAATGGTATCCAGTCCCATCACTTCATGGCAAATAGAAGAGGAAAAAGTGGAAACCGTGGCAGATTTTATTTTCTGGGGCTCCAAAATCACTGGACGGTGACTGCAGCCATGGAATTAAAAGATGCTTGTTCCGTGGAAGGAAAGCTATGGTAAACCTAGAACGAAGTATTAAAAAGCAGAGACATTACTTTGCCCATAAAGGTCCATACAGTCAAAGCAATGGTTTTTCTAGTAGTCATGTACAGATGTGAATTGGACCATACAGAAGACTGAGCACTGAGGAAGTGATGCTTTCAAATTGTGGTTCTGGAGAAGACTCTTGAGAGTCCCTTGGACTGCAAGGAGGTCACACCAGTCAATCCTAAAGGAAATCAACCCTAAATATTCGTTGGAAGGACTGTTGCTGAAGCTGAAAATCCAATACTTGGGCCACTTGATGCGAAGAGCTGACTCATTGGAAAAGACTGATGCTGGGAAAGACTGAAGGCAAAAGGAGAAGAAGGCAGCAGATGATGACATGGTTAGATAGCGTCACCAACTCAATGGACAGGTATTTGAACAAATTCTGGGAGATGGTGGAGGACAGGGGAGCCTGACTTGTGCTGCAGTCTATGAGGTAGAAAAGGGTGGGACCCGACTTAGCGACTGAACAACAACAGCGTTAGCTGGGAAACTGAGGCCCAGATGGGGAAAGGCCTGGAATGCAGTAACCTCCCGCTCTCCTCTGGTTTTCCGTGGGCTTCCACGGAAAAATGAGGAGTGCCTGCACCTATTAGGGGCAAGAGTCAAGGCGGGCTTCCTAGAGGAAGAAGGGCGGAGGGGCAGAACTGCCGCAGGTGCCCCTGGGGGCGGCGGAATTTCCAAGGAGTCCCTGGGGCACCAAGACTGTCCGGGTTGGTTGGGCCGGTTTGGCCTCTGCCTCCAGGCCAGGCGGCCGCGGCTCCACAGGGATGAGCGCAGGACAGTTTTGAGCACCAACCAGCCTGCGGGCGCAAAGCGAGACACTTGGGTCCGCCCTCGTCCCGGCCGCTGGGCGGGGCCGCACCTGCCGTCGTCGCTGGGGCTGTCGCCGTTGCGCACCTGGCCCAGGTGAGCCTCTCCGCCCTCGCGAGCCTCGAGTCTGGGCCGCAGGTGAGTGGAGATCGCTGCTCCTGTCGGCGGAAGTGCGTGGCGGTTTTCCGCTCCCAGGAATCAGGACCGAGCCTGGAGCCTGTGGGGGGCCGAGGCTCCTCTTCGCCCGCGGAGCCTTTGGGCTGTGACGGGTGTGGTTCCGCAGGAACCGACTCGGAGCCGGGCCCGCTGCGCGCGTGGCCAGAGCTTACCTCAGTCCTGGCCCCTCGGGGTTGCGGGGGTGAGGGCAGCTTTCCCCGCTCGGCCAGCGGCCCTCGGCCAGAAAAGGGAAAAGGAGCGCCACGACGAGCGGGGCCCGCCTCCGCCCCAGAGCGGAGCCCAGGCCCGAGGCCTCCCAGGGAGCCGCCGGCCGGGAAGCCTGCTGGCGCCGCCGCGCACCTGTCTCCGGGCGGAGCTACCTCCGGCCGCGCGGCCCTGCGAGCCCGCCCCCCGCGCCCTCCAACTGCGCGCGCCCCGCCTCGCCCCGCTCGCCGCAGCCGGAAGGCCGGGTACTGAGGCCGGCCCACCCTCCGGAAGGCGGGGAGTGCGGTGTGGGGGCGCGGGGTGCAGCAGGGGCCTCTCGGCTGGTGAGGCCGCAGCCCTTTGGGTGGGTTCTTTCCTTCGGGAGAGACGTCCGGGGAGGAAGCACGCGCCAGGCGCAGAGGGCCGCCTGTCTCAGATGACGGGGTCGCTCAGACCCTCTGGGTGCCAAGCAGCCGGCCAGACGGCAGAGCGTGGAGTCAGGGAGCGGGCGAGGGCCGGGCCTCCGGGCCGACGTGGAGCCCGGGGGAGGCGGAGCGGCCGCGCGAGGCCGGGCTTTCTAGGAACCGCGGGGCGCGCGGCAGAGCGCGGTGGGCGGTGCAGGGGGCGGGCTCCGGCTCCGCGGGCTGTTCTCTGGAGCGCCTGTGGCGCGGGGGTCGGGGACTACCTAGCTCTTTGCCTCCGCCTGGGTGTTTCTGGGCAGGTCGCTGACCGCTGGAGGCCATTAACCTGTCCATCAGGTGCTTATGTTGCTCACTCAGCCTCAGGGCCCACCGGGGCACCCTGGAGGAGCTGCGGCTCAATGGGGAAGGCGCGCAGGCAGGGTCTATGGGACCTGAGCCCAAGATGCACCATCATCCAAAGGCCCTGAGGGCCACGGGATGGGGGTGTTTGAGCAGGGCGCCTTGGAAAAGGTCAGATTAAGGATGTATGATGAGAATGCTCCAGGGGAAGGCCCTGCCCCATCGGTGAGAGCAGGGACGGGGCCACAAAGGACCCTGCCTGATTTCCATGAGCAGGGCCGTCAGCCACCAGTGCTGGGCCAAGAGTGCCAGGTCAGTCTAGGGTGAGGGTGCAGAGGAATCTGTGGTGACCTCAGGCTGCCCCCGACCTGGGCTCAGATCTGGGAGCCTCACTGAGGCCTCCTGACTGCTTCCTTATGTAGAAAAGGGGGCTAAGGTAAACGTGATAACCCAAGCCCCTTGTAACTGCTCACTGTTTGGGGGCTACACCTCGGAGGTGGCCAGGGCGGGGGCCGGAGAGCCCTGCTCAAGGTTGCATCATTGGCGAGGTCTGAGATGCTCGCTGGGGCCAGGGGATCTACACAGAGCCCGCCCTCTCCAGGTGCCGGGACCACAGGGCCATGCTGCCCAGCTCCTCGTTGGTGTGCGGGACAGCCCTGATTGGGGGTCTGCTGGCCAGGACCCCCACATATCACCATGGGCCCTGGCCTTCTAGACCTAGCCTGAGAAGGGAAGGCTGGGGCCACAGTGGACTGGGGCGGGCCCTGGAGGAAGGAGCCGCTTGACTCAGAGTTACAGGAAGACTGGGGCAGGCGGGGCTGGCGGGGAGAACCACCAACTGCCCGCCAGCCTGCTGGGGAGGAGGGGAGCCTGGGTGGGGTTTAGGTTTAGGAGAGGATGTGACTGCAAAGCCAGGAAGCTACGGGGAAACTTCTGATTAAAACACACAAACAAGAGCCAGGTCCCGCGGTGCTCGGCGATGCATCCGGGGCCGCTGTGCTGCTTTAGACTGGGCCGGGGGCCCAGCTGAGCAAAGCGATCGCACCCCAGCTTGCGTCAATGACCTCAGTGACAGGCATCCCCTCCTCAGGAGGAAAGAGCTGGAACCAGGTGACTTCATGCCTTCCCTGCTTAGCGTGAGCCTGTGTCGCTGTCCTCAGATGCCTTTCCCGGCCTGAGGCCTGCCCCCTCAAAATCAGGCCTGTGAGGGGAGGCCTGCAGAGCATGCAGCTTGCATGTACACACGTGTGCGTGGGCAAGTGTGCCTGTGAGAGGGTGAGGGGTGATGGGAGGCCGAGGGTGGGTGTGAGGAGCGGTGTGTGTGGTGTGGGGTGTACACAGATGCTCTTGGCAGTGTGCCCTGGGGAACTTTGCAAGTGTGTGCTGTGTGCCAGGTATGTGCACCACCATAGTGTCAGAGGTGTGGGGAGTGTGCGCATGTGCAGGGGACCACGCGTGCAGGCACGAGTGGTGTGGAGGGGGTGGGTGTACAACACAGAGAGTGTGCAGAGGAGAGGGAGGGTTGTAGCGGGGGTTACTGGGCATGGTGTGCAGGGGATACCTGTCACCTGGCCATGTGGTTTGGCCTTAACTTCCAGGAGGCTTCTAGGTTGACTTTCCAGGGGTCAGAGGTGTGTGAGCGTGTGGAGGCCAAGGGGCCACGGCTGGAGTTGCCCTGAACCTGCTGGTCTGGGTCGGGGGTGCGAGCTGCCCGGGCCCCCACAGTTCTTCTGCCTCAGGGACCTCTCCGGCCACCCTCCACTCCAGATGGCTCCCGGCAGGACCTTCTGCCCCTGCCTGCTGGGAGGGAGCCTGTGCTTCACCCATTTGTGAGGAAGTCCCAGCCCGGCCAAGGCAGGGGCTCCAGCTGACCCTGGGTCCACGTTGGGTGCCCCCCCATGCAAAAGGAGTTGGGGGAACTCGTCCCCACAAAGCCTCACGGGCCCGCGAGCGGGGAGGGGCCTGAAGGAGCTGAGGCCCCAGTGCGTCCACTCACAGGGAGGAGGAAGAGGACTGGATGCCCAGTGAGAACCTGCCTGGCGCCAGGGAGCAGGTACCCGAGGCCCGGGAGCCAGGAGGCTGTCCTCAAAGGCTCTGAAGCTCGGGTTTCACTGCCCTGCCCTGCAGCCCAGGTCACTGAGAGCTTTTTGTGTCAAGAGATGTGTGTGTGTGTAGCTGCTGCCTGTCTGGCGGGCAGTGGTCCCACCCTGCGTGGGAGAGAAAGGTCACCTGTGGGTCGGTGGGGGTTTCCCTTGCAGAACCGATGGACAACGTGGACGAAAGTCTGTGGTCTGAAGATGACAAATGGGTGGGGGCGCCCGCACAGGACCTGCCCCCGAGACCAGCCTGAGCCCCGTGTCCCCTCCTGCCTTGACACCTTGGCCTCGAGTGTTTTGTTCTTGCGTGCATACTGCATCCAGGCTGGGAGTGAGGCCCAGTCAGGCCACCAGGCACTCACAACCCCCAGCCCCTTGGAGCCTCACTACAGGCTGAGTACGGCTGTAAACAGCCCCTGTCTGTGTGTGGCGACCTTGTCCCAGAGGACCTGGGAACCAGGCCAGCTCCTGGGCTCAGGAAGGGTGCCAGGGGTGCTGCCCATCCTGGGCCGTCGGGTGTCCCTGGGGCAGACGAAGTTCAGTCCAGGCCATGCCCGGTGATCTGCGGCTTCCGCAAGACAGCTGGGGCAGAGGCAGTGCTTCCGAGGCCAGAGTTACACGTTAACTCATCCTGTTCTTGTTTAACTTGCTCCTGGGGATGGCGGCAGCCTCTGACCCGTCCTGGCGCCCTGACTGACTGGCCACAAGGACAGAGAGTGAATCTTGCTCAGCCCTTGGGGGATCAGTCTGCTCGACCAAGGAGCCCCGTGGCACTGGGGGTGGCACCAGTGTCCAGCCTGCCTCGAGGAGGCCCCGGCCAGACCATGGCAGGTAGACGGTCAGAGAGGGGTGGGCATGGGCTCCACTCCACCTCCTGCCCCAGGCTGGCTCCATGCTGCAGTGTGGTTAAGATGGGCCCTCCTCCTCTCCTGCTCATAGGGGGTCGGTAAAGCCCAGGGATACTGGGAGTGGGCACCGGTGGGGGCCACTGGGGATTGGGTGGGTAGATGTGGGCTGCTAGGAGACCTCACTGCCAAGATGATGGCTCTCTTCTCTGACTGCTGGCTTGGGTGGACAAGGAAGTTCAGGTCTCAGGGAGGTGAGAATGCTTGCCCGTGGCCAGGTGTAGAGGGTCCTGGAACCCCAACTTTCTACCAGGTAGAAGGTGCTGGCATGTCCAACCCACGTCTCCCAAGTCATCACTGTCCAGCTGAGGGGTCAGGGCCTCGACGTCACAGAGTGGGCCACAGGTGCACACAGAAAATGTGTGCTGGCTCCAGTCCTGGGCACACAGGCAGCTGGGTGGGTCCTGCTGGGCTGGGGTGGGGGTGGGGTCACCTCAGCCATGACTCTGGCCACAGCCTTCCACACTGACATCCTCTCTGAGGACAGGGCAGCCACATCCAGGGCAGGCAGAACACGTAAGAACCAGCTGATGTTGGGAGGAGACATGCCAAGGGCCAGGCCTTGTCCCCCGGCACTTGTGGATGGACACTGTGTGGTTACCGAGCAGCATGTGCCATTGGCCTCCGTGGGTTTTTCCTGGCCCACCAACCATCTGTGCACAGTGGGAGGCTGGCATCACAGGCACAGGTAACCCACTGGGTCCTCTTTCTGCAGGAGCCTGCGACAAGGCCCCTGACTTCCTGTCCCCGTCTGGAAACCAGGTGCTGGGGCCTGCCCTGGGCAGCGTGGTCACACTGAATTGCACAGCCTTGGTGGTCTCAGGACCCCACTGCCCCCTGCCCTCAGTACAGTGGCTGAAAGATGGGCTACTGCTGAGCAATGGAAGCCTCTATGACCTCCATGAGGACTCCTGGTAAGAGATGAGGTGTCCAGGGTCAGGGGACATGCTGGATATACCCACAGCCAGTGGCTTCTCTGACCTACACTCTGGTCTATAATCACCTGGACATGGGCTGGGGAGCGACTGGCCAGACACGACACGGGCAGAGTGACACTCTGCATGCACACTAAGTCAGTGACTACAGGGACAGATGGCCCCTCTAGACACTCACCTTGTAGACCACCCAGGGCCATGAGTGCCAGCAGAGTGCTATGGCCTGAATTTACTCATTGACTGCTGGGCCAAGCCTGGGATCTGAGTAACTCCAGGACCCGGACCCAGGATCAGGGTGACTGTCCCAAAAGAGATCCATATCCTCTTCATGTTCTGGCTGTTTCTCTTAGCTTACAGTCTAAGGACTGCCAGAAAGCCCAAATCTGCAACCTCTTTGGGTGAGTCCCAGTCAGCTGGGGCTCCGGGGCATCCAGTGATGCTCTTGGGCCCCAGGTGAGGGGGCAGGGCCTGGTCTCCCCAGGGTCAAGGCCAACTGGTCAGAGGTGCTTGTGTCCAGTGTCCTGGGAATCAACCTGACCAGAGCCGAGGACTTCGGGACCTTCACCTGCTCCATCCAGAACGTCAGCTCCTCTTCCTTCACTCTTTGGAGAGCTGGTGAGGGGGTGCACTGGGGTACAAGGCAGAAGGGAGCCCTGGGGAGACTTTGGCTTGGAGGGTGCTGGGGTGGCTCAGGCAGCGGCTCTGTCCCCAGGCCTGGCTGGACATGTGGCCGCGGTGCTGGCCTCTCTCTTGGTCCTGTTGGCCCTGCTCCTGATGGCGCTGCTGTACGTGAAGTGTCGGCTCAATGTGCTGCTCTGGTACCAAGAAAAGTATGGGGAGGTGGAGATGAACGGTGCGTGGGGCCCGGACGTGGGGGAAGGGGGCCTCCCTAGGCTCAGCTCTGCAGGTGGGGGTGAGGAGGCATCTGTCCCTGGAGGGCTCTGGCGAGTGCTCAGTACAGGAAGAGGGGTGTCCCTGTGCAGCCCAGGACGGCACGGGGTGGGCCGAAGTGGGTCACGGTATCCTGGTTCCAGGCCTCCACCTGGAATCCTGTGCTGAGGACGAATCCAGGCGATGCTTGAGCCGGGATCTGCTGAGTCTCGTCTGGGGGGCTTGCCTGGCTTTCCTGGCACCGGGGGGGNGGGCAGGTTTAGGGGACCCTGAAGGTGGCTGGGGCAGGCCAGGAAAGCGGCCGCACTCACCCGCCGCCGTCCGCAGACGGGAAGCTCTACGACGCCTACATCTCCTACAGCGACAGCCCTGAGGACCGGAAGTTCGTGAACTTCATCCTGAAGCCGCAGCTGGAGCGGCACCGTGGCTACAAGCTCTTTCTGGACGACCGCGACCTCCTGCCGCGTGCGGGTACCGGCGCCCTGCCCCTTTCCACTTGGGCCCCGCCCCCGCTGGGTCACAGATCCCGCCTTCCAAGGCCCCCGCCCCTCCCAGGGCCCCGCCCCTCCAGGGCCCAGTCTGTGCTACCCCCGCTGATGCCCGGGTTCCGCAGAGCCGTCGGCAGACCTCCTGGTGAACCTGAGCCGCTGCCGGCGACTTGTGGTGGTGTTGTCGGATGCCTTCCTGGGCCGGGCCTGGTGCAGTCACAGCTTCCGGTGGGTCCCGCGCTGGGCTGGGTGGGCCTCAGCCGCGCCCGCTCTGACAGTGCCACCCTCGCAGGGAGGGCCTGTGCCGGCTGCTGGAGCTCACGCGCAGACCCATCTTCATCACCTTCGAGGGCCAGCGGCGCGACCCCGCGCACCCTGCGCTGCGCTTGCTGCGCCAGCACCGCCACCTGGTGACCCTGCTGCTCTGGAAGCCCGGCTCTGTGGTGCGGAGGGGCAGGGGGGCACGGGGTGCTGTGGATGGGACTCCGTGAGTGGAGGCTCCGTGGTCAGCTGCCCAGAGGAGTGGGCTTTTGGGGGCCGAGGAGGCCAGGGTCTTTATATGTTGGCACCACTCCCCCAAACCCCATTCACGTGTTCACACACGTTAACTGCCCCACCTTGCCTCCAGACGCCTTCCTCCGATTTTTGGAAAGAGCTACGGTTGGCGCTGCCACGGAAGGTGCAGTACAGATCGATGGAGGGAGACCCCCAGACCCGGCTGCAGGACGACAAGGACCCCATGCTGATTGTGCGAGGCCGGCTCCCAGAGGGTCGGACCTTGGACCCTGAGCTGGACCCCGACCCCGAGGGGGACCTGGGTATGCCCACCAGCCCCACCCCTGACCCCAAGAAGCTCAGCCTGAGTTGGAGGGAGGCTGCATAAGGTGATGGAGCCCCCAAAGGGGCCCAGGTGGTGGGGACCGTGCCCTGCAGCCATGGATGGCCCTAACTTCCAGCACCTCCCATTGCCTCTTTCCATAGAGGTGGTTGGGCCCAGGGCCTGCCTGGGAATCACAAGCGCCACCATGCAGCAGGGGCAGCAGGGAGTGACCTGGCAGGAGGCAGGCAGTGTGCAGCCCAGCCTCAGGCCCGGCGGTGCCCCTCCCCAGGTGTGCGAGGGCCTGTCTTTGGGGAGCCACCAGCTCTACCACGTGCAAGTGCGGTCTCGCTTGGAGAGGGCCAAGGCAGTGAAGTGGATGTGTCAGACCTTGGCTCCCGAAACTACAGTGCCCGAACAGACTTCTACTGCCTGGTATCGGAGGACGACGTGTAGCCCTGCCCCGTGGAGCAGTAGGGTTGCCAGGGGCGCTGGGGGGCAGGGCTGGGTGTTTTTAATCTCACACAGCAGGACCTGTCTACTTGTAGTCCTGGGACCTCAGGAAAAGAGAGTGGCCCCAGCCCCAGCTGTCCGCCTCGTGCCAGAAATAAAGAACTTTTGAATCCCACCCGAGTCTCGGCCTCTCCCCTGGGGCAGGAAGTGGGTGTGCAGTGTCCTGGGTGGAAGGCCCCTCACTTCCATCCTAGGTCCTCCAGGGCCCTGGTTGTTGTTCAGTTGCTCAGTCCTGTCTAAATCTCTGACCCCATGGACTGCAGCATGCCAGCCTCCCCCGTCAGAGCTTGCTCAAATTCATGTCCATCATGGTAATGCCATCCAACCATTTCATCCTTTGTCACCCCTTCTCCAGCCCTCAATCTTTCCCAGCATCAGGGTCTTTTCTAATGAGTTGGCTGTTTGCATCATGTGGCCAGAGCGTTGGAGCTCCAGCATCCAGGGCCCTGGACCCTGCCCTTGTCTCACCTCATGGCCACCTGGCCGGCACACCTGGCCGCCCACTCAAACGCTGCCTCTCCCTCCCGAGCCAGCTCAGGCACCTCTCTCAGTGCCCTCCTCAGGTCTCCCTGCTACAGGTCATGACTGTTTGCAGTCCCACTATGAGCCGGACGGCCCCTGGGGGGCAGGCCCCTTACAGACTGCAGGTGCTGAGCTTTGTGGAAAAGTCTGTTGTAAAACATCTGTGGGAGCGTCACGACCAAATGGCCTGACTTGGTGGGATGGGGAGGAGTCCCAGAGCTCCTGGACCCCAAGCCTCAGACAGTATGAGTGAAGCTGCCAGGGCACCCCAGGGTGGGGCAGGGTAGAGAGATGTTGGGGTGCAGATGCCACCTGAGCACAACCCAGCAGGGTGGCACTAAAGTCGGCAGCGGGCACACTGCCCCCAGAGAGGTCATTCCTCTGCACATGTGTCTCCTTCAGCTCGGGGCCGCCTCTGCCGTCCACCTCAGCGCCTCCGCCCTCTGCCGGCTCTCCCGCTGTTGGGACGCTCCCTCCCCCCATCCTGTGTCCCCTGACCAGAGAGGTCTGTGCATGGGCCCTGGGGGAGTGTCCTCAGGGGCAAGCACAGCCATGCTTGGGGACACTGTTGCGTCCTTGGACCTGACCCCAGACCTGACCATCCAAGGAAGCATGAGGGGCTGTGTTCATGGCCACCTTTATTCCCACTGCTGGCTGTCCCAGGGCACCCCTGGGCCACAGTCAGCACTACCTCTGCCAGTGTGACCTGGCCACCACCCCACGCATCAGAGCAGCCTCAAGCCCTGCCCCCCCCATGCCCCGCAGAAGCCAATTCCCCAGCTGCAAACCCTCGTCCCCTCCCCCATGGCCCAGGCCTTCACGTTGCATGTGGACAGGGCTCCAGCGAGAGGCCCCTGGGCCATCCTCAACCTTCTCCTCCAGGCCGGCTGGTGAGCAGCCCTGAGCTGAGCCCTTCCCTAGGAGGCTGGGTCACATCGCATTCTCCTTCTCCAGGAAGGCTTCGCCTACGGCCCCAGGAAGTCCTCCTTCCGGTAGCCCTTCTGCAGTGGAGAGGGGACCCAGAGTCAGGGCTGTGCTGCCCCGCGTCCAGCGTGCTGGCAGCAGGCCCCCCGTCATCCAGGCCTCCTGTGCCACGTGGCTTCCCTGTCCCTGCTGTCCTGCCTCCACGCCCCACACTTGCAGCCCTGCCTGCCCTGGGCCACAGGAACATACCGCTCGGAAGTCTCGGTGGAGCTTGTTGTACTGCCACAGGTTGGCCAAGAGGCTGGAGGCTGCCCGGGAGGACTTCTCACTGTCAGGGCTGGGAGGTGGGGGGCAGGGGTCAGCGGGGTGACAGGCACGGCCAGAAGGCAGGGCCAGCCAGGGGGCAGGGTGGGTGCGGGGTTTGGGCCCTGACCTGTCCCGTTTTTTCTTGATGAAGACTAGCTTGCGGAGTCCATCGAAGTAGAGCAGGTCCCGGGCAGCCACAGGACTGGCCACCACCAGGTTGTTGAGGACAGCTATGATGTTTATCAGCACGTCGGCAGGAGGAGACTTCTCACCCACGCTGCCGGGCAGCTTCTCGATCAGGTGACTCACCAGCTTGGTGGCTGCCAGGAGGTCAGGGAGGTGGGTTCTCCACCGCCCCCCTCCCCCCACCACCACCTTGGCACCTGCCGTCCCCTGCTGCCCCCAGGGAGCTGGCATGCCTGCCTGTCCACTGACCCCAGCCTCCCAGAAGCTGGCCCCAGGGCGGCAGTAAAGGCAGAGTCCAGGTGTGCGCCCAGTCCGCAGGGGAGGCAGAACCCAGGCTGCAGGACGGCTGGACTCACACATCTCATCCTTGTTCCTGGCGTTGCGGGACAGGTTTCGGATGAGGCCCGTCAGTGAGCGCAGCTGGTGGTGGTCAGCAGTCCGAACTCGATCCAGCAGTGGGTTCAGTATGCGCTCCTGCTCCAGAGCCAGCCGGCTCAGCACCCCCGCCCACTGCCAGCAGAAGGGGGGTGGTGAGCAAGGTGCTTGGCACCCTGTGCCGCCTGCGGGTCAGGCCCTGCCAGCCCAGACCTCCCGGCGCCTCCCTCAAGTCCAGCCAGAACCCAGGTCCTCAGGAGCTGAGGCCTGAGCCATCTGGGGCGCTGACCTCACGCTCCTGCTGCCGCTCAGCGGCCCCCGCCTTCCCGTCCTGCCCGGACCAGCCCGCCGCCTCACCCTGCGGTCCCCCGCGGTGATGTTCTGCAGCGCCCCAGCTGCCGCCTCGGTCGTGTGCCGGTTGAGCTCGCAGCGCTGCAGCAGCCGGTTGTAGAGCCCCACGATCTGGGGGCTCCACAGCCACTCCAGGCCCTTGGGGTCCTTAGACACCTCAGCAAAGGTGAGCGCGTCGGCCGTGAGCGGCAGCTGGGCAGGAGGGCACGGAGGGTCAGCTGAGGTCGCCCAGGACCCCTGCTTCTGCCCAGCCACCCCAGCCTGGGCCCACCTCTCGGAGCCGCCGGCTCTGTGGCGTGAAGCAGCCCACCGCCTCGCCCGGGGCCCCCGTGTCCTGGCGGCCCCGGCCCTCCAGCCGCTGAAGGGCCGAGGGCGGCATCTCGTCGTACAGGCGGTAGGACAGGTTCCTCAGCACGCACACGGCGTTCTCCACGCTCTGTGGGCAGAGGGGACCGCGGTCAGGCCAGGCTGGTGCCCTTGGGGCCCCGGGGCCCGGGCTGACCCTCACCTTGTCCTCACACTTGCCCACGTCCAGGGCGTGGTTGATATAGGTGACCAGGGCGTCCACCAGCCCGTGGCACTCACGCATCTTCTGGCGAGTGGCCTGGGAGGCAGAGCTGAGGTTCCTGCGGATGGAGGCAGATGAGAGGCCTGCAGAGGGACCCCAGGCAGAGCCACCCCACGGGAATCCCCCCAACAGAGCCCATCCCACAGCGAGCTGAACCCAAGGCTGAGCCCCTGGGCACCGATTCCCTCCCGACCCGCCCTGGGCCCACCCCCAGCACCTCCTGCTTCTGGTCCCTGTGGGACACTGTCGCTCCCACACTTTTGCACGCCTACCCTCATCCACTCCTCGAACTGTCCGGGGTGGGGGCAGGTGAGAAATGTCAGATCAAGTCCCTGATTTAAAGAAATCTGATCCTGCAGCCCCCAGTCTGTTGACATCTGGCTGGGGGGGAACACCTGGTGGCCCACTCCACTGTGGGTCAGCACCTCTGCCTTGCTGGGTCCGTCCGCTTCCCCCGGTGCCCCTGCCCCCCCAACCCAGAGGCTCCACCTTGACCCTGGGACCTCAGGTCCCCATGGCCACCCAGCGCACCTGAGGAAGCCGGTGGCGTTGTAGAATATCTCGGCTTCAGAGGCGTTCTGCTGGATGAGGGGCGGCCCGCCCGCCCCTGATAGGGGGCTCAGCACCAGATCTGTGAGCTGCTCCAGCGTGTCCCGGGCCAGGCGGTCCTTCAGGTGGTCACTGGAGGACAGGTTCCACAGGATCCCTATGGCGGGTGGGCCGCAGTTGTGGTCAGGGACCACCTCTGGGGACCTCATCCGGCCCCTCCGTCTTTCTCAGGTGGTAGGGAGGAGGCTCCTGAGCTCTCCCTGCAGCGCACTGCCAGCCTCACCCACCAGCCCTCGTGGGGATAGCCTGGATGTGACCCAGAGGGTCACAGGGCTGCAGCAGGACAGAGAGGACGACCCTGGGGATGTGGGCCCTGGGGCGGAGGCTGGCTCCAAAGAGACATGCCCAGGTGGTGGGCTGAGGGAAGAGGGGCGGGAGGCGCGGGAGGCGCGGGAGTGGGGTGGGAGAGGGGCGGGGTAGCAGGCGGGGTAGTGGCCTGGTCCACCTGTGACGTTCTTGCGGAGCTCGTCATCCTGCTCCCGCAGCGCCCGCAGCAGCTCGAAGATGCCGTTCTCCTCCACCAGGGCCAGCTTGTTGTCTGCGTTGTCGTAGACGAGGTTGCGCATGGCGCCTGTGGCGTGGCGCTGCACTTCCTGGTTGGCGTGGTTGAAGAGCTTCACCAGCCTGGGCACAGCCTGCAGGCTGCGGGCCTGTGGGCACAGGCATGCGGGTGTTAACAAGCGTGCACACGATGGATGGGTGTGTGCAGATGTGTGCAGATGTGCGCAAAGGTGTCCAGATGTAGGCAGGTGTGTATATTAATAGATGTGTATGTACCTATGCAAATGTGTACAGAGGTGTGCAGATGTGCACAGAGGTGTGCAGGGGTAGGCAGGTGTGTACACTGATAAATTTGTGTGTACGTATTCAGGTGTGCACAAAGGTGTATGGGTGTGAGCACATGTATTCGGACATGTGTAAGTCCATCGCTCCCACCCTTCCTCTGCTGGAGATGCTCTGGGTAGGCCCAGGTCTGCCCAGTCAGTTTGGGGGTCCGCGAGGGTGGTCAGGGACCAGAGGACAGTGAATGAAGGGGGTCCATGGGTGTGGTCGGCAGGGACAATCACCTGCTTCTTGGCAGCTGCGTCGCTGTAGCACTTGTGCTGAATGTAGGCGGCTCCCAGCACCTGCAGGTTGGGATCTGAGGCCATGAGGTACTTGACTGCTGAGGGCAGGTCGATGTCATCAAATCTGCAGAGACAAGAGACGGGTTAGGCTGACCTGAGGATGGACTGGGGTGGTGGCAGAAGCTCCCCCTGCAACCTGTCCCAGCT